CTCGCCTCTTTCTAAACCTCATTTATATAATTAAATTTTATTAAGGTATAACTTGATGTTTCTATTATTATGACCTGCAAGTTGCTTGAGGTGAAATAAAAATATCTTGCTAGATATGTTAATCTTGCATTTTGTACTTCTTTTGTTGTGCAATAATACAAAAGAGATATGTGTTTGTGTGAAACCCATATTCGATCGAAAGTTGAAATCCTTTGATTTATTATTTCACATCGCATGCTAATAATTAAAACTGGTAGAGTTATCGATTTTTAGATAGAAAGATGCAAAAAGGTCTAAATATTTCAAAAACGGTTAAATTTAGGTATAGGGAAGCCTGATAAAAACTCTCTCAAAATCACTTAAGTAATCCAAAAACGCAATAAAAAACATAACTTGTTATTTGAAATAACGAAGTTGATACCCATTTCCGGTATAACCGGAAGTGGTGCCATCTTGAAAATATTTTCATTCAACAGGATCTAAACAATGAACGACATAGTCAAAATTTGAGATAAATATCACTGTTAGAACTCCCAATACTTCTAATGTGGGGTTAGCGGGAACACCCTGTATAACTTAAATTGCAATTGATGATATTCAACTACTCTACTATCACTATCCAAATATATCAATTGAATGTTACTGTTTTAAAAGTTTTTATGTGATTCGAGAAACGTTGAATGTAGATGGTATATTTTATTGTAATATTCTAATGTTATCTCGATGGTAATTGGTGCTTAACTATCGGGCGTGGAGTTTTTGAATTCCGCTCGTTTTCACCTGCCGCATTATTACTACGAATCTCGTTCCAATTATTTATACTTCTCTCGTTCTGCACTATTTACTTTGACTTGAATTGGATGTGTTTGAGAATAAATTACGAATACCATAGATATTACTACTTTTTTTTTAAGAAAAAAAAAAAAGATTACTACTATTGATAGATTCATGCGTCAAATTGAGGCCTAACAAAACCATTACTGCAATAGTTCTAGTCGTCTGTTAGTTTTGTACTGCGGTTCGTCCAAGGGCCGTCGCACAAAAACAAGTGCAAGCACACGAACATTCTTGATCTTCCCATGTCTTGCGCGATTGTGGTTTTGATTATCAATACTACTTGTCTTATACATGTAATATCAAAATAAATTTGCTGATGCATTAATCAACAACCATGTTTTATTTCTTTCTTTCCACTTCGATTCATTCCCTTTTTTCCTCCCACGAGAATTTTACTTCGTTTCAGCGTAACATCACACTGATAATTTTGTTATAAAACACACTTGGTTTCACAACTGAGACGAGATGAGATTACACACTTTTTTCGTTTCGCGCTGTGTCTCAGTAATATTTCATAAAGTCTATTACGAAAGATATTGATGTCGAAGCTTTGAATCTTGATAAGAAAAACAATGATGCAAAAACCAGGGTTTTATGTATGTAACTTTTTGATTACAATTTTTAAACTAGTCAAGATTCATTTTCCGAATATTAGTTTTTGAATTTTGGTTGCTTTTGGCACCCGGAACGGTCTATTGCCAATAACTCCGGACTTATTAGAGATATCCTCTTATATTTGGTACCGTTGGAAAGAGAATTTAATTTTCTATCATATAAAAAAAGATCAGTGTTAAAATAAATAGTTATCGAGAAAATTTGTGATAAATTCAAAAATATCGAAAATTTAAATCCGTCTATAACTTCAAAACTACTACGAATTTTGCAGTTTAGTTGACGCCAATCGATTCCCCGGAACATTTTACATATGTCTAGGTCAAAATATTATATCATTGAGACACAGTTTTGCCGCAATTTTCAAAATAAAAAAAAAGTAAAAATCTGTTAACACTTAAAAAATTGTGTTTTTGAACATGTCTCAGATTCGATTTAAACCTATCTTATCCGATAGATTTTGCCGCGCTGATTACGAATTTACCAACCACATTGGGCTATCTCCTTTAGTTTCGCCTTAATCGGCGTTTAAAAATTCAAAATTTTTTGCGAGATATCGACTTGGCTTTGGCCTCAGTCGATAGATTTTCTTACGCTGATTACGATGGAGTTGGACTGATTGCTCTAAGTCTAATAGTTTGGCCGTAATCGCCGTTCAAAAAGTCAYAATTTRKAAAATTGTGAAACTTTAAATGCGTTTTTCTACGAAACTATAAGACCTAGAGCAAAACGCTAAAAACCATTAAAAGTAGCTTGAAATTATCTATTTATTGGCGCAAACCGGAAGTCGCTCCGGGTTATGGTTCCGGGTACAGAGCTATTTTTAGGTTTTTAAAAAAAAACGTCATATCTCAAAAACTATGAGTCCTAGGACAAAGCGGTTTCTACAGGCGTATTCTCCGGTTAATTTTACATATAGTACTAGTTTTTCATAAGAATTAAAAAAAAAATTTGTTTTTTTTGTCAAAATATGTTATTTCTATCCTTATTTTTGACTTTATTACTCAATATCTCAAAAACTATGCATCGTAGAGTATTCTAACTAGTTGATTCGTGTTCAGCGAGTAATTTTACGTCTAGAAAACCATATTTCAAGCGTTTTCATGACTTAACGTAAATTGACTATTTTTACGATTTTACTACCGCTCACCTTCAAAAACTCAAAAAATTCAAAATTTTTGAAACTTGACCCAATGGCGTTTTATGCACTTATTTGAGTCCTTAAGACCTCTAGAAATGTAAAAAACGTAAAATAGAACAATTTTAAAGTTAAAAATTTTTTTGATTTTTGTCGAGATTTTGGTCGATTTTTGGCACCCGGAGTGGTCTAATGGCAATAACTCCGGACTTATTAGAGATAWCCTCTTATATTTGGTACCGTTGGATAGAAAATTGAATTTTCTATCATATAAAAAAAGATCAGTGTTCTACGATAAATAGTTATCGAGAAAATTTCTGATAAAATCAAAAATATCGAAAATATAAATCCGACTATAACTTCAAAACTATTAGGAATTTTGCAGTTTTCAACAAACTCTATCAATCATCAATGGACCTACAATTAAATTATTTATTTCGAGAGACCATATTTCAGAATAAATGCCTTTTTGTTTAGATTCGGCATCTTGACAAATTTTTTTTAGGTCCCAAAATTTTAAATTGGCCGTTTTCAAAGCATTTAAAATGTGAGTAAAGTAAGTAGTAAATGTAAGTAAGTAATCTTTATGTTCACCCAATAGTGTCATTGAAGAATATTTTACTTTTTAAGTTGTCATGGATTTTCTAGCCAACAAATCAGATTCAATAAAAAACCCAAGACATTTGCAGAAAAAGTAATAGAATAAAATTAAATGAACTATTAAGGTCCATTTTGCAGTATTACTATTCGATATAAAAAGCTAGAGGAAATGGGATTACACTCATGGAATCATTGAAAATTGTAGAAAATGTAAAACAATCGTTACAATCTGCACCACGGAATGTAGGTGAAGCTGCTTTTGAAAAATTGCAGACTTCTCTCAAAAAACCCTGCATAGAAAAAAAAATTTATAATTTAATGTAGATTCTGACATTGATTTCTCTGTCTTTAAGTATTGTCCCATCACAAGTTGTGATGTAGAAAGACCATTTTCCATTTTGAAAATAAAGAAGTACGGTCCAATTTCACAGTTAGAAAAATATTTACTGTGCTATGCAAATGTACAGGGTGCTGCATTTTGGATGTCCGAATAGGGAATCTCCGAAACTAAGAGGTTTAGCCAAAAACGAGTGATACATTCTGCGGCTCATTTTTTGAGAAAATAATATTGATTAAAACCGCATCCCGCTATCGTCTTTTGTTTTCGACTTACAGACAAAAGTTGACATTTTGGCGAAATGTAAAAAAATTCATATCTTCGTTATTATAGAAGATACGGATTTGAAATAAAGACATTATACAGGCACTTTTTTACGAGGAATTTAATAATGTAGTTACCATTTTTTTTCAGTTATTAGTTTAGCCGTAATAAGATAAACTTGTATTTTTTTAAATGGAAATCATAGGCGGCTTTGGCAATTTTGAAAAGCTTATTTTTTTCTGATCTAAAAAATATATATTTGTAACAAAAAATTTTTTTATAACTATACTTAAAAAGTAAAATACATATTTTGTGTGATAATAGTTGGCCATGGAAAAACTATTTCACTCCAAATGTGTAAATAATAATCAATAAGAGTTTTGTGAACTGTAAAATAGATGAAAAAATAGATAAAATTATAAAAATTTAAAAAATACGATACGGTAGAAGTATTAAACAAATATGCGAGAGCCTCAGAACAAAATTATTACATTTTTTTAGAAAAATCCAAAAATAGGAAAAACAAATGTGTCAACAGTCAACACAATTAGAAAAAACTTTTTTTTTTTGATGATCTAATGGAGGTAGGATAACGTTTCACATAGACGGAATTTGGGTATTTGAATAGCCATATCGTTATTTTTTTGTCATATAAAATTTATTTTATTGAAGAATTAAAGTGGATTTTTTTTACAACACTCTATGTATCACTAGAAGTTACAATGGTAATGTTAGCTTGTTTAAAAACAAAGAAATGTTATTAGTTGCCAATAAGTTGATTTACGATTTATTTTGCATTTTTTTCATTACTTAGTACTTAGAAAACTCTTTCATTAGTGACACTGGTTGAATAATATAGTTTAAATCCTTTTAGTTGAAGATGCAACATTTTTTCATGGCCAACTGCGAACAAAAATCAAAGATAATTTTTTGCTAAAAATGTATTATAATAATTTGTTACAAATATATATTTTTTAGATAAGAAAAAAACAAGCTTTTTAAAAATGACATAGCCATCTATGATTCCCATTTAAAAAAATACAAGTTTATTTTATTACGGCTAAACAAACAAGTGAAAAAAATTGTTAACTACATTATTAAATTCTACGTAAAAAGTGCCTGTATAATGTCTTTATTTCAAATCTGTGTCTTCTATAATAACGAAGATATGAATTTTTTTAGATTTCGCTAAAATGTCAATTTTTGTCTATAAGTGGAAAACAAAAGACAATAGCGGGATGCGGTTTTAACCAATATTATTTTCTCAAAAAATGAGCCCCAGAATGTATTACTCTTTTTGGCTAAAACCTCTTAGTTTCGGAGATTCCCTATTCGGACATCCAAAATGCAGCACCCTGTACATTACCAGTAATTTAATTTTATATTTACTATCAATGATAATTATGTTATTGTTCTTATTATAGCTATTTAACTTTAGTTAAAAAAATTGTTTATATTAAATGTTTAATTTTCTTATTTTTGATCAAAAATATTTTTTGTACAACTCGTTTTATTGTTTTGAAATTTATGTTCCTACTCTACCAAAGTGTATTATGTGAAATTTTTTATAAAATTGTTATAAGTAAAAAACTTTGAGGTAATTGCGATTTTACTGATTTTATTTCATGTCCTGTTTTTAGTTTTTTCAGTCCTATTTTAGGACCCTATTTTCCAACTTTTAACGTCCTAAAAATTCGCCCTTTATTATTAATATTATTAAATATGAATTCAGTTGTTCTGAAAATAGAAAATTTGTCAAAACAAAAGGATCTGAAACTTTTTGTTTAATCATTAGTAATAAACAAAAAAATGAACTGTTGAAAATTTGAAAAATGATTTAAAAAAATAGCCACACAAGAATACAAGATGTAAAACTTTGTTTCATTATATCTGAAACTGCAATTACAAATTGCATTTGATAGCAATTCAGACGCCAGTTTAAAATTAAATCCGGCCGCGAACGCAATTCATTCTTACACGTGCATTCAAAGGTCTTACTTTCTGAAACAAAAGTTTCAAAACATTTCTTGTTTTATAATAAAACTTAAAAAACAACAAAAAGTTTTTAATTTTTAACCTTAGATTTTTCAAGAAGAAATCAGAAAATATAAAATTGCACTTTTGATGTGGAGTGGGTAATTCGCCACGAAGCATAAAATTTTGGATCCGATCCTGATTTCGGTTAAAACTTGGCAATCAACGTAAGGACAACTCATTGAGTAATTAAATGTTGGAAACGACACAAAAAGAACCAATCAATTATCTTATGTAATTACGAAACAATTTGTTTTATTTATTAAAATTTATTAGATCAGTTTTCAAAATTCCCTTAATTGTGTCAAATTAAAATCAAACACTATAAATTCAATAATGAATAAAAACATTATTTTGTTGTAATGTATTTTGCAAAATTTGATTTCAATGAGAAACACAAAGGCGTAAATGGTATTTGGCACATTATAACTAAGTAGAAAAAAATCTCATAAATTATTGTGATGCAAATAAATTTATATTTTGCTTTTACATAAAGAGGTGGAGAAGGAATGCATGTACATATTTTCTTCCCTTGCTATTTGCAGCCGTCTCGAAATTAGAATAACAGAAAAACATTGGTGTTTTTAAGTTTGACGGCATAAAGTTAGGTACGATTGATGTCCTTCTCACTTACATTAAGACAACGTAATTTAAAAATAGATCACATTAGGAGTGGACAAAACAACATTTCTATCACAGCTTCTGCTCTTTTTATTTATTTTGAGAGTAGTAGAAAACTAACCAACAAGTGTCAATAACATTTAAACGTTTTTGTTAACCCGTTTTAAAGGTACAAAAAAAATTGGACAAAAATTCAATCATTACAAGTTTTTAATTCAGTCTGTTTATAATTGCAGTTTTTTATTGTTTTTGCACATTTCAAGGCAACAATTTGTTAATTGTTAAAGTGTCGAAAATAGTAAATATGGTGGTGTTAGAAATGTGGGCACTTACTATTTTTCGATTAATTTCTCTGTTGAAAAATTAAATTTCAGTCAGTCCCTAAACTAATAAAATAAAGTAAAATCTACTTTTAATTTTTGTTTTACTCTTTTCACTTTCACTTCTTCAAAAAAAACAACATCGATTTTTTGTGTAACAAAGTTGATTTTCACAAAATAACAACAAGGGGAAAGAAAGAAAAAAACTAAGTACATTATACAGGCTGTTCTGGCTAAACACCACATTATTTTTATGAACACCATGAGTGCGCAGCACAAAGAGTAATGACCATAAAAAAAATTTTATGTTTTTATTATTGCATTTTTGGATTACTCAAGTAATATTGATAGAGTTTTTATCAGATTTCCTTATATCTAAACTTAACCGTTTTTGAAATATTTTGACTTTTTTGATTTTTTTTTAAATTTGCATCTTCCTCTACAAAAATCAATAACTCTACCATTCTTAATTATTTTGAAATCGTATTTGGGCATATTAAAAAGAAAGGTTAGATCTTGTCTTTTGTGTATTTGTAATTGGAAAAATAATTAACAAACCTCCAAAATTTAAGGTTACGTTTGGGAAACTTCAAATACCCGTAACTGAATTTTTTCAAGAGAATTTAATTTTGACTTATTTTACCGATTTAGCTAGTTTTTGAGCTATAATTTTTTTTATTATTATTACACAAGGTTTTATCACAACAAGCCGAAAAATTTTAAGTAAAAAATATAATGTTATTTTGGACTGCAAAATCTCTAAAAGCAAAATGTTTTGCAAGAACAAAAAAGTAATTAAGGTTGTTTTGAACCAAAAATTCAATTGGTTTACAAAATTTTGTCAATCCAAGCCGAAAAATCAGCAAATAACGTCAAAATTGACATTATTTTTGACTATTTCGAACGGTTTGACTAGTTTTTTAACCAGAAACTTGCTTATTATCAAGTTTAAAAATCTGTGAATTAGATATAAAATGACGTTATTTTGCTTATTCTACTCATTTAGATTGTGAGTTCGAAAATTTCTTATTTTGAATTTTTTTTCAAAATTATGCCCATAAAAACTTTGTTTTGGCCTATTTTACCGATTTAGCTATAAATTTATTCATTACACAAAATTTTGTTTTTGATTTAGTCTTTTGACTAAAAATTTGTCAGACCCATCAATTTTTTTTCAGTTAAATCAGTTTCTTTTAATATTTTGTACTTAGAATCAACTTTTGGGAATGATTTTTTGTGTTTAATTAAATTTTCGGTCTAAAAATAAAGTAATTTAGGTTGTTTTGAGCCAAAAATTCCATTAGTTTACAAAATTTTGTCAATATAAGCCGAAAAATCAGCAAATAACTTCCAAATTGACATTATTTTTGACTATTTCGAACGGTTTGGCTAATTTTTTAAGCAGAAACTTGCTTTTATCGAGTTTAAAAATCTCTGAATTAGATATAAAATGACGTTATTTTGCTTATTTCACCCATTTAGATTGTGAGTTCGAAAATTTCTTATTTTGAATTTTTCTTTTTCAAAATTATGCCCATAAAAACTTTATTTTGGCCTATTTTATCGATTTAGCTAGTTTTTGACCTATAAATTTATTCATTACAAAATTTTGTTTTTTGATTTAGTCTTTTGACTAAAAATTTGTCAGACCCATCAAAATTTTTTCGGTTAAATCAGTTTTTTTTAATATTTTGTACTTAGAATCAACATTTTGGGAATGACTTTTTGTGTTTAATTAAATTTTCAGTGTAAAAGTAAAATAATTTAGGTTGTTTTGGGCCAAAAATTCTTTTAGTTTACAATTTTTTTTCAAAAATCAGCAAATAACTTCTAAAATGACATTATTTTTGACTATTTCAAACGGTTTGACTAGTTTTTTAACCAGAAACTTGCTTATTATCAAGTTTAAAAATCTCTGAATTATATATAAAATGACGTTATTTTGCTTATTCCACTGATCTAGATTATAAGCTCAAAAATGTCTTATTTTGAATTTTTTTTTTCAAAATTATGCCCGTAAAAACTTTATTTTGGCCTGTTTTACCGATTTAGCTAGTTTTTGAGCTCTAAATTTATTTCTTACACAAGATTTTGTTTTTTGATTTAGTCTTTTGACAAAAAATTTTCAAAAAGTCTGAATATTTTGAAAACGGTTAAATTTAGGTTTAGGGAAGGCTAATAAAAACTTTCTCAAAATCACTTGAGTAATTCTAAAGCACAAAAAAATCATAACTTTCTTGAAAATATTTTCAGAACCTAACCGATTATGGCTATAGACAGAATTTTAGATAAATAACAATACTTTTTCTAATGTGGGGTTTAGCCCACAGTAGCTTATTTTTCAGTAAAAATTTGAATTTTTGCCAACAGTTGTAAACAATAAATTTATCTAAGGAGTGCACATCCGGAATGAAGAAATTATTAGTCTGGGATTGTTCCCAGCTACCATAAAATTCTCAAATTAATTAAATAAATGGTTTTGTGTGAAAAATCAACTCACATTCCAATGTATTGTAATTTTTGGAATTTTGCCGATACTGATTGTTGTATTATTTAATAAAAAAACATTTTGAAAACAACTCGTGTAGTGACGTCAAAAAACTCACATTGTTTCCAGTCCCTAGTCTCATTTCGACTCTATTTATGTATGTAAGACTGCGACACAAATAGTACACCTGCCAAAACCTCTCCGAACTGCCAATGTTTAAAATTGATAGCTTTATTGACATTAAGCGAGGAATTGAGGTTGTACAAAAATTCTTATCCTCCACTTCCTCTCATAGTAAATGTCTTTCCCGAAATGAAGCATTAAATGAGTAAAACATTAAAATAGTCCCAATGACTCAAATATGCAATATAAATACCCACTGGCATTATTACCGCAGTCCCGTGTGTTTTTCTGGGGTCAGCGGGGTTAAGGTGGCTCTAGTAGGGATAAATAAGTGTGATTGGCAACGTATAATTAGGCGGGGGGATTCCCGTCGGTTTAAAACTCATCAGAGTTTGCAAAGCTCTTGTAACGATCTCAATTTAGTGACTTGTGTGGAATGGACGACGAGGGTGGAGATTGGTTTGCGGATGCAGGAGATGACACTCCTGCTGAAACTGCTGCTCCTGCTGAAGCCGCTGCTGCTGCAGGTGAGGCTCCAGCCGCCGAAGGTGAAGCACCCGCTGAAGCGGCTGCTGAAACCGAGGATAAGAGGGAAGTGGCCGAAGAGGAGTATTTGGATCCGGACAAACTCTTGCTATTTAAACATTGGATCAGGTAGGGCTTCATGACACTATTTTAAACCTATTATGTAACAATTTAATTATTTTTTTTAATTATCGGTTAAATCAGTTTTTTAAACATTTTCGGAATGGTTTTTTGTGATTTTGGTTGTTTTGAGCCAAAAATTCAATTAGTTTACAAAATTTTGTCAATACAAGCCGAAAAATCAGCAAATAACTTCAAAATTGACTTTATTTTGGATTATTTCGAAAGGTTTGACTAGTTTTTTAACCAGAAACCTTGTTGTTTTGCTTTTTCTTTTCAAAATTATGCCCATAAAAACTTTATTAGGGCCTATTTTACCGATTTAGCTAGTTTTTGAGCTATAAATTTATTTATTACACAAGATTTTGTTTTTTGATTTAGTCTTTTGACTAAAAATTTATTGTTTTAGTTGAATCAGTTTTTTATAATATTTTGTACTTAGAATGAACATTTTGCTAATGATTTTTTGTGTTTAATTAAATTTTCAGTCTAAAAGTAAAGTAATTTAGGTTGTTTTGGGCCAAAAATTCCATTAGTTTACAAAATTTTGTCAATACAAGTCGAAAAATCAGCAAATAATTTCTAAAATTGACATTATTTTTGATTATTACGAACGGTTTGAACCAGAAACTTGCCTATTATCAAGTTTAAAAGTCTCTGAATTAGGTATGAAATGACGTTACTTTGCTTATTCCACTCATTTAGTTTGTCAACTCGAAAATTTCTTATTTTGCATTTTTTTTTTTCAAAATTTTGCCCATAAAAACTTTATTTTGGCCTATTTTACCGATTTAGCTAGTTTTTGAGCTATAAATTTATTTATTACACAAGATTATGTTTTTTGATTTAGTCTTTTGACTAAAAATTTGTTACACCCATTAAATTTTTTTTTGTTAAATCAGTTCTTTAATAAATTTTCCTTAGAATCAACATTTTGGGAATGATTTTTTGTGTTTAATTAAATTTTCGGTCTAAAAGTAAAGTAATTTAGGTTGTTTTGAGCCAAAAATTCAATTAGTTTACAAAATTTTGTCAATACAAGTCTAAAAATTAGCAAATAACTTCCAAATTGACATTATTTTTGACTATTTCAACCGTTTGGCTAGTTTTTTAACCAGAAACTTGCTTATTATCAAGTTTAAAAATCTCTGAATTAGATATAAAATGACGTTATTTTGCTTATTCCACTCATTCAGTTTGTAAACTCGAAAATTTCTTATTTTGAATTTTTTTTCAAAATTATCCCGATGAAAACTTTATTTTGGTCTATTTTACCGATTTAGCTAGTTTTTCAGCTGTAAATTTATTTATTACACAAGATTTTGTCTAAACAAGCTGAAAAAATTTCAAATTAAGTAAAAAATATAATCACATTTTGGTCTGCAAAATATCTAAAGGCAAAAAGTTTTGCAAAAATGTTTATTAAGTATAGTAAATAATTACGGTAAAATATATTTTTTATCGACTTTACTATAAAACTTACTGTATGGAAACTAGTGAAGTCTCTTGACTAAAAACTTGTCACAGCCTTCAATTTTTTTCAGTTAAATCAGTTTTTTTAATAAATTTTGTACTTAAAATTCACAAAATCAAAATTTTTGGAATGATTTTTTGTGTTTAATTAAATTTTCGGT